ATTAGGGGCATTTTTACAATGAACACGGTAATTTTATAATGTAAATATTAAAATATTCCCTATTTGGGAATATCAGGCAGTACCAGTGCCAAGGTGAGTTTCTATGCCATTGCTAAAAGGACCTCAGTAGACAGTTTTACTGGAAACTACAAAGAAATGCTCCTTGCTGCCCTTGGTCATTTGAGGAAAACTTCTTAGACACTTTCTTTTCATACAACTTCCTCCACACTGTCCCTAGATCACAATTGTATTTACTGGGTCAATCCAGTTCATGGTTATCTCCTAAAACAGCTAGAACAAGTTCCTCCTCTCTAAATCCCCAAAGCCAGCACAGTTGTATAACCGAAAACTGTTTGTTACTGTAGAGTATAAACTGGTACTGGCTTTGTATAATATCTATCATAATTATAAATCCATAAGCTGGAAAACCCAGCAATTATATTTCTAGGCATTTATACATAATCACTTATACAACTGCTCGAAGATATGGACAAGAATGTTAGTGAATCATTTTTAATTAGAGCAAAAAATTTTGGAAAAATTAGAATGTCCATCAATAGGGATTGCTGAAATATACTCGAAACATCCACATGACAGAATACCACACAAACACTACAAGAATAAGGTATGAACATCAAAAGACTGATGCAAAATATTATTAAGGTATATAATTTCAATTATGTAACTAATTAATATATGTTTCTATATCCTTAGATGACAAATGGAAATGGAGGGGAAAGGGGCAAGACCTTTACCTTCTGCTTTTAAATTTCCCTAAATTAGGGGCATTTTTACAATGAACACGGTAATTTTATAATGTAAATATTAAAATATTCCCTATTTGGGAATATCAGGCAGTACCAGTGCCAAGGTGAGTTTCTATGCCATTGCTAAAAGGACCTCAGTAGACAGTTTTACTGGAAACTACAAAGAAATGCTCCTTGCTGCCCTTGGTCATTTGAGGAAAACTTCTTAGACACTTTCTTTTCATACAACTTCCTCCACACTGTCCCTAGATCACAATTGTATTTACTGGGTCAATCTTTTGACATGTTACACCCTAATCCCTATCAGCTATCGTATCATGCAATGTAACTGATACCTAAGCCTGGTCTGATGACTTTCTTTAACTGCCTCCCTACTCTTTTTCCTCTTTATTTAGTTCATAATATTACTTTCAATCCACATTTCCCACGCCATCACAAACTCACCCATACCTTAATCACTAGATACACATACCAAATGTAGTCGATGAATGAGAAAAGGATAACTTTATTCCCTGGCTGAACTACAGAATTTTGGAAATGAAATAAATATGAAAAATATACCTATTCTAAATGTTTTCAATCCTACTGATAAATTATACATTGAAATGAACTGGAAAAATGACAAAGGAGGGGAATGGTGGCTTAAAAAAAAAGCTTTACAACTGCCTGTCCCACACAGCCTGCAATAGAAAAGCTTGTCACAAATAAACATCCTCAAAGTTCACACTGCAACTGCAAGAACAAAGAAAAAATTAAAAAATAAAAACAAATGCTAATTTTTAAATTAAAAATTTAAATAAAGAGATTAAGATTTTAAAATATATGTATGTATTTTTTAATATCAACATACTTTGTTCTAAAATTACCATATCAGGCTGGCTGGTTAGCTCAACTGTGAGAGCATGGTGCTGTAGCACCAAGGTCAAGGGTTTAGATCCCCGTACTGGCCAGCAGCCAAAAAATAATAATAATAATAATAATAATAATAATAATAATAAATAAAAATTTAAAAATTATCATGGCTTTGATTTGTTTTGAAATTTCAAATAATGGTAAAGACACATGGAATTTTTTTTTATGTTTTATCAAAAGAGGACAGGGGTTTAAAAAAATAAGAAACACTATCTTAAGATGAGGTAACATTTTTTTTCTTTTTTTTTGGTGGCTGGCATGTACAGGGAACCAAACCAAGGCAGTAACTTTTGAGGTAACTCCAGTAAGAATCTGCATCAATATTCCAGAGAAGTACGCCTCTATTTAGTGCTCCAATTACTGGGAAAGAAAAAGGGTATGGCATAAAATTAGATTTTCTTTTTATAATGGGGCTGAATTCTAAAGCCCAGATGAGAGAAACACTACACCAGCTTTGTCTGTTAAAGATAGAGTTTCACTAAGAAGGGGTTTTTTTATTAACTTATTTAAAAAACTTAACTCCCTTAGAGAGCTACATGAAGGAACACTATATGATACTAACACCTAATCATAAGATGAAAAACTAAACCCATCAACAGCCAATAGAGAGACAAGAAAATTTCACTCTATCCTTCAGGTTGTTTAAAAAAAGACTTTTTTTTACATATAAAGTCAAATAATAGTTTCTTAAGTTTGATTTATAAAAGCAAAGCAGTTTTCTTTTGTTAATATAAAAAGGACATGATATTGAGAAACAGAGCTCTAAACATTTCAATGACAAAATGCAATAAAATTTATCTTACAAAAGCAGCACAGCAAGATATTGATAGTAACTAGGGAGTACATGCCCCCATTCATCTCCACACATTGTAATTAAAGACTGATACAGAATTTTTAAATTATTTTAATACTTCATAATATAAAGCTTGGTATAACTACATATGTTTCACTTAGGATTTACAGGATTGACCAAGAAACTGGACCAAAGTCACATCGTTCTCACTTTTAAATACTGGTCTCTGAATCATATTTTATAAGTTTAGGCCTCTGGCTGTTAGTACTACACAGATTTCTTTTTTGTTTTGTTTTTCCTTCTTTGTTTGTCTTTTGGTGGCTGGCCAATATTGGGATCCGAACCCTTGACTTTGGTGTTATAACACTGTGCTCTCAAATTTCTGAGTGTTTAGAAATAAAGGGATTATTTTCATTTACTTAAGTTTGCTTGGTTTTTTGTTTTGTTTTGTTTTGTTTTTGTCTTTTGTCTTTTTCCGTGTCCGGCAACGGATCGCAACCCTCGGTGTCGCTCCCGTGCCTCGCTCAGCCAGTGAGCGGGAACCGGTCTGCATGTGGGATCCGAACCCTCGGGCACATAACACAATTAACAGTTTGAGTTTATCCTATCTCTCCTTCAAAATAAATACATATAAAAATCCTGAAAAAAATGGTGAGCATACACTGGAGTGAGAATCTGGAGACCTACAGCCTTCTCCCTCAGTCTATAATCTAATCTAATTCCATAACTTGTAAATCTCCATCTGCTCATCTATAAAGGGGGTTAGATTTAATCAGTAATTTTAAACTGGATTACTTGAAGCCTTGAGGATTCTGTATGTTTGGAGGGGAGAAGAGATAGAGGAAAATTAAGAATTTGTACTTCTTAAAAAGAGTTCAGAAACCATTATACTATATGATTTGGTTTTTTACAGGTAACTATTAAGACAATAATCATGACTAGTCTTGAAAAAAAAAGAAAAAAGGCAATTACCAATACCAGCTCAAATATCATCTGCTGTGTGAAGACTTCCCCAGTCTCCCAGGAAGTTAATTGATTTCTCTTTTATGGTCTTATAGCATTTTGTTCAGAATTTTATTACATTACAATACATTTTATCTCATTATACCTCTCCCTATGTTGAAAGATCTTCCAGGACAGAAACCATACCTTAATCAGTTTTATATCCTCAGTACCCATAACAGTAGTTCATAAGTACTTATAGAATGAAGGAATGAATGAACGAACAAACGAATGAACTAACTACACAAATTACAAACAGAAGCTTAGAACACCAAGAGGACCAAAGAGTGATTGTACTTTCCTTCCAGATTCTATAAAAGGGGTGACTGGGAAGAAAAGCATTGTGCAAACGTTAGAGAAAGCTATGGTTTCACTGGTATTCTGAATACTTACATAAACAACAAATTCAGTACTTCCACTGCTCACTGCCAACTTTTGCTCTTAAAGAAATAAGGTGCTTCCTATTTTCTGCATATTTTTGTCCAGCTTCTGTCCCGCAAATTTGTTTCTAACACAAAGTTACTCCAAATTTTATTTTACGTGGTTATTTTTCATTCTTGTGAAGAGTGCATATTTTTGACATCTATCTAAAGCCTATTTCAATTTGACATTTTGTCTAGAAAATGTCAAATTTTGTGTCTCCTCACAAAATAGATAATGGAAGAAGTGATGAAAATTTATTTGAAATTTTTAAGTTAGTTGGATAGTGCATTTTTTTCTTAAAGGGTATTAACTATTCACAAATTTCCCTTATAATACACATAACACAATTAACAGTTTGAGTTTCTCCTATCTCTCCTTCAAAATAAATACATATAAAAATCCTGAAAAAAATGGTGAGCATACACTCATAACACAATTAACAGTTTGAGTTTATCCTATCTCTCCTTCAAAATAAATACATATAAAAATCCTGAAAAAAATGGTGAGCATACACTGGAGTGAGAATCTGGAGACCTACAGCCTTCTCCCTCAGTCTATAATCTAATCTAATTCCATAACTTGTAAATCTCCATCTGCTCATCTATAAAGGGGGTTAGATTTAATCAGTAATTTTAAACTGGATTACTTGAAGCCTTGAGGATTCTGTATGTTTGGAGGGGAGAAGAGATAGAGGAAAATTAAGAATTTGTACTTCTTAAAAAGAGTTCAGAAACCATTATACTATATGATTTGTAAGGACCGTCTAATATTCAAAATCCTTTTGTTCTATTTCTTTATCCTATTAAAGACTGCTATTAGTCTCACATTTTGAACTGGAAAAATAAAATACCAAATGTAGATATTTCCTTCTCTAAAATCACATAATTTACGCAATAGAATTCACCCAACATTTAATGTTACCTGTTCAGAACAGTTGCCCTATTGTTAGGTAACTACAAATAAAACATGACCTTCCAGAGATCAAAGACTAGAAATTATTTTCACCTTGAGTGAGCCAGTCAATTATCCCACTAATGTAATTTTTAATATCGTAACCATTAAAAACATATATTTAAAAAACTGGATTATTATTTTTAAAATACCTGTACTATAAACTGTAACTCTCTTCTTTCTGCTTCCCATTGTTCTGCTTGTAATCTAAACTCTTCCAATGCTGTCTCTCTCACATGAGACTCCATCTCATTCTTCTCCTGTTGATGTTTTTCCAATGCTTCCTTTACATGAATAAAATCTTGCTTTACTATTAGTTCAATAAAAGTTATCTTTCTTCCTTCATCCCCAGTTTAAATGTATAAAGGGGCTGTTTTTATCTTGACTATCAAAACTCATTATAATTCATGTTAAAATCATTAATAAAACTATCATTTTGATCATCAGAATGTAGATCTGAATGAGAAGCTATGGTTACTCATTTAATTTAAATAACATGGTTACCCATTTAATTTAAGCAACATGTTATATATAGGCACATATTTGACCCAGTTTTTCTGAAAAATTTAACTCAGCGGTTTGAACAAAATGCATTATATGACAAAGAGACAAAAACAAAGTAGACTACAGTTAATATGGAAATCTCCACCTGTGAACAAATTGTTTGGATTATCCCTGATAATTTATATGTAAACCTGACATAGAACAATGTATATCCGAAAGAGGAGAAGGAAGTAATTTTGTGTAATAAATCAGGATATGGAAACTCCAGAATGTTAAAAGTTTGAAAAAAAAATGTTTTTTTAAAGTTCAGACTGTGACTAATACCTAGCTCTACAAATAAACAATATTTGGAAAAAGCTTTTCTTTCTGGGTTTTCCTAGATGTACTATACTTACAAGATCTAATCTGGTTCAAAATCTTAAAAATATAAAATACAGGTTTTTCCTGAGAGCCAAATTTTCTGACCTACAGGGTTTGAAACTAAGTCCCTAATAACACAGAAAAATTATGTGGCTTATAAGAGAGAGAAAGAAAGTCTCCTGTGTCCATTATTATAATGGTAGCAAAGATCTGTATAACAAATATTATCCTCACAACTTTCACTAATGGAAAGCCATCATAATGAGCCTTGAGGCTTTTTTCCCCTAAGGGCTAAATAGACTTCAGGGTTAATTCAACCCCAAAGTCCCCCCAAAAGTCTCTGTGCAGATCAGTTCAAAGCCAATAGCCTAAAATCAAAGCATAGCTCCCCTAAGCAGCTAATCAAGATCATATCAAGATTTTATATCTTGAGGTGCAGGCTGACTGGCTCTAAGGGATGCTGTCACCATCACTTTTCTTTCTCCATAACTCTAAGACATTTTATGTGGGAAAGGCTGAACAGGCCTACCCAAAGATGGAAGTACCAGCCACCATCTAAATTTCCCCCATTCAAACACTAATGGAGTTCTTGTGAATGCCAGGCACTATTTCCAGGGTCTAGAAATAGAGTAGAAAACAAAAGATACAACTATGACTACTGACATGGAAGAAATCAAAAGCAGATCTGCTGGCAATGTCTGCAAACTCTTGCATCAAAACTTTACATTTGGTAAATGCTTTTGTGAAATTATTTTTTAATAAGGATACAAATAATGTACAACACATCTCAGTAAACAATATATATAGAAAAAATCCTTTAAAAGTTATTTTACCTGTAGAGTTTTTTCTAGTCTGCTTTTTTCTTTCATAAGTAAATCATATTCTCGATTACAATTTTGAATCATATCATCTCTTTCCTCCAAATCATGTTCAAATTTTCGGCACTCTTCTTTCCATTTCTGCTGGGAAGTATGAAATGCTTTCTCAATCTCATTTGCCTTTCCTTGAAGTTCTGAATTCTGAGCTATTAAAAATATAGTAGAATAACAGATATATTTGCAACCATGAGTTAAATCACTAGGAGTCCAAAAACATAGACATTGGAGCTGATTCCATTTACAGCATGATCTTAGGACAAAACATTTAAACTTTTCACTCCAGTAAACTCTTGAAAAGCTCACTCACTGTCCCTGAACCAATCTATTCTATTTTTCCATCTCTTCTTCCCCTTCAGACAAAGGTGATTTTGCTATGAAATACTGTGACATGTTCCTGAAGGCGTGCCCAAGTTTATGTGCACCTCTGGCACCAGCTGCAACTCTACTACTACTATTCCTATTCAAGAAAATATATCAAATGTTTAAAAGAAAAAAAAAAAAACTGTGACCTATCCATAATTCCATTAGGTTGTTTTTTTATTCTACCCTCAACATTTTATTACAAAAATTTTCAAAAACATAGAAAGCTGATAGTAATGTATAGTGAATACTCATATATCCACAACCTAGACTCTACGATGGTTAACATTTTGTTCTATTTGCCTTATCAGACATTTAAACATCTATTGATGCATTCATTCATTTATCCATCCATCAGGCCATCATACTTTGTTCTGCATTTCAAAGCAAGTTGCAAACATCAGTACATTTGACTCCTAAATAATTCAGTATGTATATCATTAAGCAGAATTCAACATAGTTTTACTTGCCTTACAGGTAAAACTTACATATAGTGGAAGGCACAAATCTTTATTTAGTGTACCATTCAGATTTTACAAATGCATACACTCATGTAACCCAAACTCTTATCGAAATGTAGAACATTTCCTTCAACCCAAAAAGTTCCTTCATACCCTTTCCCAGTCGATCTCCACTGCCAACCCATTCCAGAGACAACCACTGATCAGAATTTTTTTCACCAACAGTTAGTTTTTCCTATCCTAGAAATTTATACAAACAGAATCATACAGGATGTACTCTTGTGTGTAAAGTTTTTTTCACTCAGCATAATGTGATTTTGAGATTCATTCACATTACTGCATGTATTAGTAGTTAGTTCCTTTTTATTGCTTAGTAGTATTTCATCATATAAATATAATACAAAATGTTTCTTCATTCTCCTGTCAGTAGGCATTTTTTTCCCAATTTTGGGCTACCATGAATGGGGCTGCTATGAAATTCTTACACAAGTCTTTTCTAGACAATTGTTTTTCTTTCTCATGGTGAAATACTAAAGAGTGAAACTGCTGGGTCATAGTATAAATACATGTTTTTTTAAAAATAAATTGGCAGGCTTTTTTCTAAAGTGGTTGTACCATTTTACAATCCCACTAAAAGGGAATAAGAGTTCCAGTTGCTCTACATCCTCATCAACGTTTGGTACTGACAGTCTTCTCAATTAGAGCCATCTGATAGGTATAAGATGATAGCCACTGTGGTTTTAATTTTCATTTCCCTAATGATAAGGGAGGCTAAGCATTTTTCATGTGATTAATGGCCAGTCCTCTACCTTCCTCCGTAAAGTACCTGTCAAAATTTTTTTACTTTGTGCAAATAACTTCCCATCTTCCCTGGACTTCAAAATTTCCTCATGGTTAAATAAAAGTCATTAATTTTTATATCTTGTGCTTACCAATTCTTGTAGTCCTAAATTCCAGGTAGTGGTATAGTTATTACATATAAGAGGTGATTGTCAGGGCTCAGAACACTATACCCCAAAGGATGGTACCTCATCATGTTGAGTATTTTTGAGTTGAAGGAGACAGAAGGGCCTCAGAAGCAAGGCCTCTGTCTCCTCTGACCTCCTGTCTCCCATCCCTCTTTCTCTTCAAAGCAAGCCAAAAAAAACCTTGAAAGGTCACTCTCTGACATACTTCCCCCAAAAGAATGTTATAAGACCCTCATGTGACAGGTGTCCTGCCCTATACTGGGAGGAAAGGAATGTGTTAAACAAACAGGCCTTGCTGGGTTCTCCCCTCAGTTTATTGTCATTAGATTATACCCTTTTTGTCCAATCACGTTTCTCCACAACTATGCACTTCTTTCATCAGGCTTAGCGTAAGTATACACAGCTTTCCGTGGATCTTTTGGTCTTCATTTCTGAAGGCTCCCATGTCACATAAAACTTTGTTAAATAAGTTTGTTATGCTTTTCTCTTATTAATCTATATTTTGTTACAGGGGTGTCAGCTGTAAACCCCGCACTGGGTAAGAAAGAGATACTACTTTTTCTCCACTACATGATCAAAAATACTTATGACCAATGTCAATGACCTAAGCCAGCTGGCCAAAACTAGGAATCTTAACCATTACAATAACTATAACTTAACATTTGTTTAGCTCCACGCAGTTAAAAAAGCACTTTCTCTTTCTCATTTCATCTTTAAAACAACCTAGATTCAAACACCAGTAAGTGGTAGAATCAGTATCTAAATCTAAATATTCTGAATTCACATTCAGTATTCTCTTAATTAAAACATGCTTATACAAGAATGTCCATAGCACCATTATTCTTTTTTTTAAAGCCAGTCAAATTTAGTAGTGCGAGTTGTATACCAACTTCAGTGACATTAATGTTAACAAGTTCTAATAACCCACTACTATCAAACCAGCCTTTAGCACCATTATTCTTAATAGCCAAAAACTGGACACTACCCAAATGCCCATCAATAGTAAATGGATAAACGTAAGTGTGGTATTGCTTACACAATATAACACCAACAACAAAGTTATACAACAATATGGATGAGCCTGACAAACACAATGTTGAAGGAAAGAAGCCAGATACAAAAGATTATATACTACATGATTCCATTCATACAAAGTATAAAAAAGAGACAAAATTGATCCATGTTATTAAAAACCAGCACAGGAGTTATGCATGTGGAAGGGCTTTTGGTAATTTTCTATTCCATGATCTGGGTGCCTGTTATGAGTTATATAGTTATCTAGGCACATTGCTTTATATATATTATACTTTCATAAAGGTTTTATTGAAGCCCAAGGGCTATATAACAGATGACTTCTGAGGATTAAATCCAGTACTTTTTTCTTTTCCACGCAGCACATCCTAACCCAGTGCTTTCTAAACCTAGCTAATCAACAAAATCACCTGTACTGCTTCTTGAACATATAGATTCTCAAGCTACAGATTCTGATTCAGATTATATGTGATGGGGGGCCTAGAATATATGTTTGAAACAAACAAAAAATTCCTTTGTGATTCTGCTGATTATTCATGGAACAGATGCTCTAAAAAAGTGATTAACAGAATTCTGAACCTCTTTTTCCATTCATTCACAACATAAAAAAATGAATCTAAAGTAGATAAATGTTCACATAATAGCTAGAAGACTTTACGTATACCCAGCAAACTCTCTCCATCAACAGCCTACCTATGACCCTATACGGAATGCCTACAAGCAGTGAGCAATGATATACAAGGACGTTACAACCCTGAACATGTTAAGAAATAGAAATAGTCTTACCACAGAGTGTTTCTTGGATTCTATGTGCCTCGGCTAATCTCTCTTCAGCAGCCCGTCTTCCAAGACCAGCTTCCTTTCTAGCAACAGCCAGGTCATATTCCAAACTTTGTCGCAATGCTTCTCCTTTTTCAACCTCAGACCGTAGCTTGGCAATCTGGCTCTCATAGCTTGCCAGCTAAAAACAGATTTCTAATGTCATGAATCAATATTAAAACATGTCTCCAAGAATATGAGATCATACACTCAAACATTTAAATTTCTTAGAGAAACTTGTTTCCATAATATTTAGAAGTCAAGAATATATCAATTTAGGGCTGGCCCGTGGCTCACTTGGGAAAGTGTGGTGCTGATAACACCAAGGCAAAAGGTTCAGATCCCTATATAGGGATGGCCAGTTCGCTCACTTGGGAGAGCATGGTGCTGACAACACCAAGAAAGTGTGGTGCTGATAACACCAAGGCAAAGGGTTCAGATCCCTATATAGGGACGGCCAGTTCACTCACTTGGGAGAGCGTGGTGCTGACAACACCAAGTCAAGGGTTTAGATCCCCTTACCGGTCATCTTTTTAAAAAAAGAATACATAAATTTATATTTTCTTTTCTTTTTTTTTTTTTTGTCCTTTTTTGAGACCGGCCGCACCGAGCTCAGCCAGTGAGTGCACCGGCCATCCCTATATAGGATCCGAACCCGCGGCAAGCAGCGCTCCCAGAGCCGCACTCTCCCGAGTGCGCCATGGGCTCAGCCCATAAATTTATATTTTCTGAAACACTGGGAAAAAAGCACTACCTTACTCACCAAATGACACTCATTAAGTTTCTTATTTTATAGAATCTACTATGGAGAAAAAAAAACAAAAAAAAAAA